CCTTTTCCTTTTCCTTTTCCTTTTCCTTTTCCTTTTCCTTTTCCTTTTCCTTTTCCTTTTCCTTTTCCTTTTCCTTTTCCTTTTCCTTTTCCTTTCCCTTTCCCTTTCCCTTTCCCTTTCCCTTTCCCTTTTCCTTTTCCTTTTCCTTTTCCTTTTCCTTTTCCTTTTCCTTTTCCTTTTCCTTTCCCTTTCCCTTTCCCTTTTTCTTTTTCTTTTCCTTTTCCTTTTCCTTTTTCTTTTTCTTTTTCTTTTCTTTCTAGCCCATGGGGTACTTGCAGGCAGTTTCACTCCTTGGCTCTGCAGTTCACCCACTCCTCTGCTGGACAGCCCAAGCTTTGGCTGGACAAAGCCTTTTGCATTTCTGGGGTTTGATTTTCTTCATCCCTCTCTCTCTTAGCAGCAGAAGCAAGAAATGGCACTGAGTTCCCTTTTCTGTGCCTCCTGGATGAGCCCTGTGCTCAGAGCTGTGCTGGTGACAATCAAATTCATCATCAGCTGCACATTGCTGAGGTCTCCCCAGCCTGAATAAATCCTTGACCAAAGTAGGGCAGCAAACCATGCCTGGCCTCGAGAAACACTTTTGATCAGGGACAGCAAATTCCTCGTGATTGCTCACGATGATTTCCTTCAAATGTGATAATTTCCTTTCAAATGGGAAAGAGTTTTCCCAACCTGGATGGGAATGCCAGCTCCCTGAAGCTTGGATCCTCCACCAGCACTTTACAGAAAAGATGTTCTGATGGGAGATAATCCCAAAACAGGGGATTCAGGATTCAAAAACTCCCAAACTAAAAATATGTAAGGAATCTTTTGCAATTAATCTTGACACACCTCTACTGCTCTCATTTCTGTGACATTCAGTCATTCGCTCCTTAAAAGCTGACAGTGTCTGAAACTTKGTTTTCATAATATCTATATGTGTAATTTTAGCAGCTAAAAATTTACCTTTTCCCAAAACACTGACTTCAAATTTTGAAAAAAGTTGGTTTATGTCTACTGTCTTSATTCCCAAATTTATCCAAATTCCCAAATTTCCCAAATTAATTAATTCATTCATCACTTCAAAGCTTGTGGACATTATTTTTTTCACTTTAGGGTTTCATTTTAATAGAGACACTCAAATGCTAGTATTAAAATCAGGKTTGATGCCATTTTACAAAATATTTAGCATGAGAATGCTAACAGTATTCACTTTGGCAATGCCTGTGACAAAGTYACAGTTTGTGGACATAACTTAAAAAACAAATTATTTTAAATAACCTTTTTTTTCTAAAGGAGCTTTTAGGTCAAGTCTCAAAGATTAAATAGAGTA